ATACCAAATCATACACTTTAGGGGAAGTCGGAGTTTTTATAGAACTTAGAGATAGATTGAGGCCAGTGATTTGAAAGGCATGGCTTAGTTTTATTAGTTTTATTTGTCACGGTAGTTTTGTTTTACACTTCAGTCCTATAAGGAAACTATGTTAAAGAGTGCTGTGAGTCTTTTCGTGGAATGTTCTTAAAATTAAAATAATAAAATGTATCATTTCCTTTAAAAAAAGTAATTGCCATAACCTTGTGTTGCAGACTGAATTGCTTATAGCTGTCAGCATCTCCATTTACCATTTCACGGAGGCACAGTGAATTTGACAACTTTTCTTTATGTGAAAGCTACTTAAGATTTCAGCAGCCTGCAGAGAAGTGATGTTTAGTAAAATAGAGTTTTGTTTCAAAAAGTGAAATATTGGTCAAGGGGTTCCCAAAGGCAGCTGACAAAGTAAGGATGATCACATCATGATAAATGTATTTGGGATACAGTTATGGCACAGCATTTAAAACAAAAACTTTTATTTAAAATTTTAATGAAGAGTGGAGCCCCTGAGTGGCTCAGTTGGTTAAGTGACCGACTCTTGATTTTGGCTCTGGTCATGATCTCAGGGTCATGAGATCAAGCCCCGTGTTGGGCTCCATGCTCAGCATATGGAGTCTGCTTGGGATTCTCTCCCTCTCCTTTAGCCCCTCCACCCACCACTCTCTAAAATAAATAAATAAAATTTAAAAAAAATTTTACTGAAGTGTAGCAATATAAGTCTACTTTGGGTACTGATGTCTCCCTTGAAGAACCGATCGATCATCTTGTTTTAAGTAATGTGAAGATTGAATAATAATTGAAAATCTGCAGAGAGATTTAAAAGTAGTCATTTTTCTTCTTCATGTTTCAACAAAGAATAAATTCAAATCTGGTTCTTTTCAAAGTGTGTGACCGTAAGTGGATTTTTCCCCGTGTGGAACTACTATTATATAAAACAAATAAGACTGTCACAATAGGCAGATAGAAATTTCTCATGGTTCCCACAAGAGACCTACTGCCATCATCAAAGTACTTTTCTCCTGGGTCTTGGCAGAGATGTAGAGAGAGTCTTGATACCATTTAAAGCCCTCAGAATCCAAAGCTCTTCACAGCTTGGTGAGTCTAAGACCACTGCAGCTTCCACCAGGAAGGCAATGGGTGCTCTGGCCCCGCGGTGCTGGGAGAGACAGCCTGGTGACATATCAGGCACAGATGTGATCCTAGAGCCTGGGGCTCACCTCTCAGTTAGTCCTGGCTCTCAGGCTGGCAGCATTTGGGTAATCTGTGCCCATTTACTTGTAGGTTTAGGGAGTGGGTTCCTCACATCTATTCAGTACCTGAATCATTCTTTTGTACTTCTTCCTATTTTAGAATCAGTGAAGAATTTCTTTTCACATTCCACCCCAGCAGAGGCTGCTGAGCCAAGGTAAGTGTCTCCTCTCAGAGCATCACTTTCTAACTATGCAGGCAGCTCCCCTTCAGACTCCCATGGCACAGGAATGTTTAATCCTAAATATTTAACACTATCGTTGTGCCCCTCTCTTATATTCACCCCCAGTTCCCATCAGTGGGTCAGGGTGATACTCCCATCTGTCATACTGTAAGTACGGCCAGGCATGCAGTGAGCAGAGAGCACACTCCCCCTGCTGTTTTTGAGGGACATCTCTTGGTGTTTCTCAGAAATAGGCACCCCAGATTCTGACGCCAACCTGCAGATCCTGTCCATACCTCTTGGGTCCCTATGCTGCTGCCTCCTCCCAGTAATTCGTTTATGAAGGAGGTTACAAAACCACTGGACTTTTGGCAGGGACAGAGGTTATGTTTTCATCAAATTTAAATTACTGAAACCTACAGTTGTACAGAATCCAAACAAAATGAAGAGAAAGTGCATACACAGCAGGCACAAGAATGGAGAAGAAGCTAAAATATTTGATTCTAAATCAATGGTAAAAATCTGCCATGAGGGATCACTCTCATGGAGTAGGAATTATTATGAGTGAAAGGTCACAAATTTATGGTGAAATAATACATTGACAATAAATATGGCCAGCTCAACTTACTAGTATCCATAATTAGTGCCTATATACTCTTCCTTTAGTTGAGAAATAGGACAATCTTTTTTCTTCTTTTTTGGGAGCTTGTGGGGAGTCGAGCTTCCTCTAGGAATGCAGTTACTTGTGTAATTTGTGAACAGGTATGTCTAAAGGTTAACTTTGTTTCTTTAACAAACATTGTAAATAGGGTGATTGTTCTCTTGTGTGTCTTCAAGTGTCTGCTATGAGGGTGTTTTCCAACTAGTCTCTTGATCTCTGATTTACTAGTTCTGTCCCATGCAAATCCATCTCCCTGCATCAAAAACCAGGGTGAAATATGAGGATGTTATCAGCTACTGAAAACATTCAGCAACTATTTTTTGTTTAGACTACAGGACAATTTTTAAATGCCTTAGTATTTCACATGGAGGGCTCCATCATCTGGCCCTCGACACTATTTCTCTCTGTCTCTGTTTCTCTCTCTCTCTCTCTCCATCCCTTTTCTACTCATTCATTCTCTCATAATTTTCCCACGCACACAGCAAATAGGTCTTAATCAGCTGCTTCCCTGAAAATGTCAGGCTGTTTCATTCTCCTGTGTCTTTGTTCACTCTGTTTCACCTGCCTAAAATGTCTCATCCTCTCACTTATTTATGTTTCAAGTCTTAGTCCAATGATTGCCTCTTCTCTGATACAGTTACTAAGCATTTCTATATGTCTATTTCTGGTTTTGTGTGTGTGTGTCACTGAATATGTATTTATGTCATATTAATATTTTTTAAAATTTGGGTTCATCTCTCATAACTGGTGTCTATAATGAAATTTCAGTAGAACTAGAGGATATTTCCTAAAATAGCCAGACACTTTAAATATAACAAGGTGGTGATGAGCCTCAAATCTGTATGTCAGCCTAGGTGGTCAGGCCATGCCTTTCCTCTCAGACAGCTCTCAGTTTGGCTGTCAGGATGATCTCACCACTCTCTAACTTGGAAATGTTTCTTACTCTGTCTAAACCAGTGTTTTCTGGGGAATTAGAATACAATACCTCATTAGTATTGTCTTGTGGATTAAATGGGATATTGTATGAAAAGTACTTTTAACTGAGCAAACTTCTCAGCAGCTAGTAAGTGCTCAATAAATTATTATTAGAGAATATTCTGGACTGATTGTTTAAGCTTCACATTAAAACGAATCAAAACACAACCCTACCTCTCTGCCATTTCTTCAACTCTGAGGAAAATGCCTGTAAGCATCCCAAGTTTTCCCCATCTTAGTAAATGTTGTCCCTTCCATGTCACCAGCTGTATATCTGAGAGTCCTATATATCTCTCTTTCCCTTATCTTCTGTATTCAAACCATCAATTACCATTAAAGATTCTTCTAAGATGCATCTGAAATCTGCTCACCTCTCTGAAACCACTGTATTCAGGGCTACCACCACCTTCTCTGAATAGCCTGCTACCAGGCTCCCCACCACTCTTGCTTCCAGAGATGTGTGCACTGACAGAGTTATCTTTGCACTCATAAATCATAAACCATACTGTGTCCGTACTGGGCTTTAGCCCTTCTCATACTTCTCATTGTATTGAGATCGCCATTCAGAGCCCTTATTATGACCTCCAGGGCTGCCTATTTTTCCCATCTCTTGTGTCCCTTACCTCACAGACCACAGCACATGGTGGTGGCCCCTTTTCAGGCAGTGCTGTCCCTCCTCAGCAACAAAGGACTGGGGCCCTGGAATCCTTCTCTGCCCGGGTCACCTCCTCAGAGGTCCAAGTGAACTTCCCTGATCACATTCGTATCACTTTCTGTTCTGTAATCTTCCTAGAGAATGTCTCAAGTTTTATTATGCATTTCTTTTTGCTTGCTTATTTTAAAGACTCTCCTCCCAGAGACTCCCAGCCCCACCTGTGAGGACTTGCAGCTGCCTGAGAGCAAAGCCCATGTTTGTGTTATCTCTACTCTGCTTGGCTCACAGCAGCTCCTCTCCTCCCTCCTGTTAGCCCAGGTTCCTTTCCTCTAATAATAAGGGGTCAGAGCCCCTTTCACACTTGCTGTCATTTACAGTTCATATAAACTTTCATTCACATGTTTTCATTTGGGTTTTGATCCATGGCGACATAAGCTGAGTGAATATTAATATTCACGTTACAGAAGAGAAAATTGGGTTTCAGAGAGGATAAGAGGTCAAGGTCATATAGCAAACCGGGGCAGACCCGGTGCTTGACTGAGGTCCAGGTCTTTAACACGGAAAGCCTGACTCTCCTGATCTCAGCGCTCACGTAATGTGATCGTCATCATTAGCTCGTGACAGCTGCACTCCATCTCCATGATGGTGGAGGGCAAGGATGTAATGGTATGTGAGGGGTAAGTGAGTCTTAAGGAAGAACTTCCAAAGCACTGTGTAGACATGGGCCAGGAGCGCTATGCATATCCTTTGGAACTGGCAGTGGTAACATGGAACATGTAGACTGGATATTGTTTAATTTGGGGGTGGTTGTGAAGGCAGTGTAGAATAGAGCATGGGCTTTGGACGAAGACTTCAAGGTGATTCCTGCCTTGTTACCAGTGGGAAGTTGGTAAGTTGCTTAATGTCTTTCCAAGACTCAGTTTTCTTATCACTAAAATGGGTATAATAACATGTAAAGAAGCTATGTAAGAATTAAATTACGGGGCGCCTGGGTGGCTCAGTTGGTTGGGCGACTGCCTTTGGCTCAGGTCATGATCCTGGAGTCCCTGGATCGAGTCCCGCATTGGGCTCCCAGCTCAGCGAGGAGCCTGCTTCTCCCTCTAACCCTCCCCCTCTCGTGTACTCTCTCTCATTCTTGCTCTCTAATAAATAAATAAATCTTTAAAAAAAAAGAATTAAATTACATTAGTGCCTACTGTACCCAGTGTATGGTCTAGTCTATAATATGTTATGAATAAATGATATATTACTATTACTGCTAGTCAGAGAAGGCAGAGGATGGAAGAATCTAACTGGACCATGGACTCTGACCAAGTGATTTTTTCCCCCCAAGAGAGCTAAGTCCTGTATCTCCAATATGGAAGTGGAGAACCAGACCCAGGTCACCAAGTTCATTCTGGTGGGGTTCCCTGGGAACTGGGGCATGCGGGTAGCAGTGTTCCTGATGTTCCTCATGGTCTATACTCTGACAGTGGCCGAAAATGTGGTCATTATCCTGCTGGTGCAGCAAAACCAGCCACTGCACAAACCTATGTACTTCTTCCTGGCCAACCTGTCTTTTTTGGAGACCTGGTACATCTCTGTGACTGTGCCTAAGTTGCTATTTAGTTTCTGGTCTGTGAGCAACAGTATCTCCTTCACTCACTGCATGATACAACTTTACTTCTTCATTGCCCTCATGTGCACAGAATGTGTGCTCCTGGCTGCCATGGCCTATGACCGCTATGTGGCCATCTGCCGTCCATTCCACTACCCCACCATTATGAGCCACAGGCTTTGCTTCCATTTGGCTCTTGGCCCCTGGGCCATTGGCTTTGGCATCTCCTTGGCTAAGATTTACTTCATCTCTCGCCTCAGCTTCTGTGGCCCCAATGTCATCAATCACTTCTTCTGTGACATCTCTCCAGTACTTAACCTCTCCTGCACAGACATGTCTGTAGCTGAGCTGGTGGACTTCATCCTGGCGCTGGTCATCTTTCTCTTCCCCTCTCTATCACTGTCCTGTCCTATGGATGCATCCTGGCCACCGTTCTGCATATGCCCACCGGAGAGCAGAAAGCATTCTCTACTTGTGCCTCCCACCTCGTGGTGGTCACCATCTTTTATTCAGCCACGATTTTCATGTATGCCAGACCCCGAGCCATCCATGCCTTCAACATGAACAAAGTGATTTCCAATTCTATGCTGTTGTCACCCCTGCTCTCAACCCTTTCATTTATTGCCTAAGGAGCAGAGAGGTCAAAGAGGCTCTGAAGAAACTGGTCTATTGCCAAGCTATGCAATCGGACTAGTCACTTACAAATTATTAGAAAGAAATTATTTGACTTGGGGCCTGCTCTTCCCTCCTTGGTCCTTCTCCTTTAATGCCTGAGCTCATAGTACTCATGCTGATATGATATCACCACATCCACATCAACCACAGGCTCTTGGCTGCGTTGTGTTGTATGCATAAGCACACGTGGTCTGTGGTCTGAGGGCAGATCCCTTGTAGAGAGAGTTCTCTTTGGCTGAGACCTAAAATGGGGTTTCTGACACTGTGGGTAAATCCCTAATGGGTCAAAGTGGGTGAGCAGGTTGGTAGTATCTGAATTAGCTGTTTTGGGATGTAACAAGCCTTAAGCATTGTGGGCCAACAGATTTGAGATGGCTTCCTGACTGAGACAGAGGTAGCAGCGTCCTCAACAGTCCCATCCTGGGGATGTTGTGCTGGCCATCAATCTTGGTGGCAGAGACTAGAGACTGCTCCTCTAGTCCCCCCAACACTTTTCGTATGTAGCCGTTTCCCTGCCTTACACACATTTCTGCTGCAGGTAGCTAGAGTGCTTCCTGTTATCTGTACATGAACTATACTTAAAGCAATTGTAATTTGTCTTCTGACATAACTTATACTGTTGCTTTGTCCTGAATTTCACATTTCCCTTCTAGATGTTACAGTATGTTTGTATCCTCTAGTGGTTGAGCAGAAAGTAAATGATAAATAAATATCAGCAAATATGTTATTTGCTGAAGGAAAACTTTGCCCTCATTAATCATCTTTTCTTTTGACCTCAATGTTCTCCTTCCTCTTTAATCTACTTCTACTCCCCCTGGCCTTCATCTCTCAGCACATCATCTCAAATACAAGCAACTAGTCCAAGTTTAGGACTTGACAGATTATCATCCTATGCCACAGTGACTCTCAGCTCCCCTACTTGTTTATCTGACACCCTACCTATGAACACTAGACTTGCTGATCAAAGGTGCCACACCCACAGAAGGTATAGATGTGCCCACTCTTGGTTCACAGTTTTGTCAATGGCAAAGGGAGCCATACTTTAAACTGTATTCAATATAATATGCCAATGTCAGCAGGAATTTAAATCTTCCATTAAAACAGTTGAAAATAGAATGGCTTTTAGCATTTTCAACATCTTTTACCTAAAAACAAATAACATTTTCAAAAATGTTTTCTTTTTTTTTTTTTGAAGTAAGAGGCATTAGGAAGGATTCTTTGCTACATTTTACAAACTTGTGGAACAGAAGCTTAGGAAGTAAATACGTACAATCACAGAAAATCACAGACAGTGGGGAGCAGAGGTCAAAAGCCCAGGCTTCCGGACTCTGAGCCCTGGGTCTGTCCTTAGCTCATGGGATCTTTCTAGAGAGAAAACATGCTTCTTCAGCAGACTAAGTGTGTAGGGGTTTGGTTAGAAACATCAATTGCTATACCTGGAGAAACTGTTAATAAAATAAAAATGGACAAATGTGAAATATATTCCTTAAGAAAGCAAAGAAACAAAGATAACATGCAAGCCTACCTTACTTTAGAGAATAAACATACAAAAGGCAATGACTCTCATAATGGAAATGATTTAATATTTGCTCCTGGAGCATATTTTGGTTTCTTGATGCAGTAAAGAAGTGATTATACGTATATTTCCACTTAAAACCAGACATATAAGGGAAAGTGTTTATTTTGTGAGCTAATTCAGATAAACCATTCACAATGTTGCAGTGTAATAGGGCTATCAAATGCATGTGCTGAAAAACAGGAAGTAGTGAATGGGGGATAAAAATTACCAACTGGCTGCTGACGATCTGAGTTCTAGTTCTGGATACATCTTTGTCATGTGACGTGGGACAAACCATCTAAACTCTCTGAAACACTGATTCTTCATATGTAAAACAGAAATAATAATGCCTGCTTTGCAACCCTTCCACAATGGTGATGAGGATAAACTGACATGATTCCAAAGACTTTGGTTGTTCAAGATCTGGGTCAGTGTAAGATCTAGGCAGGCCAAAACTTGGTTACAGTTTATTGGGGGAAACAAGCTGCAAAGTGTCTGTAGATCTCCCAAACCATCCTGTACTGACTGAGCTCCACATCCCACGGTCTGGGAGACTCCAAATATAAGGGCTGTTTGTTTCTTTATTATTTCTCATAAGTGTCTGGGTGAGAGAGTGTGTAGAAGTAGGGTTTCTTCACCAGTTCTATTCAATTGTGTTTCAAAGAGCAGATGGGAATCAGATCTGTAATCTTGACCTCGTTGTTAGAGGAATGCCTAAATGCATAAGCTAAGCAAATTAGAGGGTACAGATCAGACCAACGTAGGAATCAGCCTCAACAGAGGGAAGATGATGTATAGCAGTGTAATGGATAAATGCACCCAAAAGAGTATTTGTAAAGTGAGCCACATAAAGCAAGGCGGACATTTTGAACAAGACTGCATGGGGGTAGGTAACCACCTTGTAGATTCTGGTAGTCAGTTTTAGTGGTTTACTTGGAGACCAAGCCTCAGGATTCATTTTTGACCAACCAACTCATAATGGAGTTCATCAAATCAATGAAAATGTATTTTTATAACAAAATATAAAAACTTGTATTTAGGAACAGATGGCAGACAATATAATTATACATACAAAATGCATACATAATATACGTAATGTCGCAGGTTAAATGGCAGCTCCCAGAAAGATTTGTCCCAACTTCAGGCTGGAATTTTTGATTATGAACTTTTTTGGAAAAGTGGCCTTGGAAATGTAATTAAGTTAAGGATCTTGGGGTGTCTGGGTGGCTCATGTTAAGCATCTGCCTTCAGCTCAGGTCATGATCCCAGGGTCCTGGGATTGAGCCCCACATCGGGCTCCCTGCTGAGCAGGGAGCCCGCTTCTCCCACTCCCTCTGCCTGCCTCTCACCCTGCTTATGTTCTCTCTCTGTGTGTCAAATAAATAAGTAAAATCTTTTAAAGTTAAGGATCTCAAAGTGAAGCCATCTTTGATTATCTGTATGGGCCCTAAATCTAATGACCAGTGTGTTGTAAGACAGAGAAGGGGAGAAAGCAGAGGTGAAGGCCATGCGAAGATGGATGTAGCATGGACTTGAGCATCCACAAGCCAAGGAATGCTTGCAGTCACCAGAAACTGGCAGAGCAAGGACTGATTCTCCCCTTGGGCTTTCAAAGGAAATGTGGCCCTGCTGACACCTTGATTTTGAACTTCTGGCCTCCAGAATTGTAAGAAAATAAAATTGTTGTTTTAAGCCACTGAGTTTGTTGTAATTGTTATGGCAGCCTTAGGAAAGCAGTACTCATACCAATTCTGGTGGCAGTAAGCCCAGTGGTGCATGGGGCGGCGGGGGGGCGGGGGGGAGGGAAGAGTAATGACAAGTGCTGGTGGAGATTTTAAGCTTTAAATCCAATGGTTACAAAAGCCCTCACTGAGAAAGTAAAGTCTGAGCAAATAGAATGTTGCCAAATGGTTTATTAACAATTTACAACAGACAAAGGTACAGAGTTTAGAGCCCCATGCAGTTAGAGGTCAACTTGCAGACATTGATGGGATGTTAGAATTTTGCAGCCTAGTTAGAGAAATTGAACCAAAGAAGGTAGAATTAATGAGATTTAGGATGCAGAGGAGAAAGTCGATGGTCAAATATTCATCAAATGAAAGTTTAAGAGTCCCTCAGTGTTTGAGAGAACTGAGGCATCTACTACCTCTTAGCACCTGGGTGGCTAATTGAGTTAAACGTCCGACTCTTGATTTTGGCTCAGGTCATGATCTCAGGGTCTTGGGATTGAGCCCCAAGTCAGGATCTGCACTCAGCAGGGAATCTGTTGAGGATTCTCTTGCTCTTTCTCTCTAAAATAAATGAGTGGTAAATATATACAGAGTGATGTTGCTCTTTTACTTTTGTTCACTGCTAGATTCTTCCGAGGCCCAGAAGTATCAATGGGTTGAGCCAATTATGACCCCATAAGTCTATACATAGGGAAGTGTTACACTGAACTATGAAACTTAGGTCTTTAAGGTTTCTGCTGTATGACAGAGTGTGCACAAAGGTTGGCTCTGGTTTATTTGATATTAAAAATTTTGAAACCTCCAACAGCAATGCAAAGCTTCTGGATCAAGGCAACTTCATCAACCTTGCCTTTTGCTGGGAAAGTTGTCATGGTAACAGTAGGGCTCAGAAGCAAGAGCGGCTAACACAGCTATTACAACTCTACACAGAACGTATCAACACTTGGAGCATTTCCCTTTTGATTCATGGTTAGCCTGGGACGTTGAAAGATTCCATGTGTGCTGAGACCATGTGGTCAATAATAATTTAATAAGAAAAAAATCTGGAGGTCTAGACACAAAATTTAAGAATTATTTGTTTAGGAGTATATGGATTACAAGTGTTTGTCTTTCTTCCTCCTCGCCTGGTCTTCCTTCTCCTTTTTCACTTACCTCATATTTTCTGCTTTTTTTTTTTTCTGTGTAAAAATGCTGTATTGCTAGTTTCTAAGATAAAATAATTCCTCCAAATTAAAATGCTGCTGTGCTCCCATCATACTCCTCTTTAAAACAGTGTTTCACTCCACCTTCTGCAAAGATGTGGTCCTTAGCTTGGTCAGAGGCTCTTGTGCTCCTGCTTCTGCATCCAGACTCAGCACCTGCTTCTCCAGCCTCTTTACTCGGTTCTCCCACCTGCACTTGATGTTCTCAAACTTCTGTAGTTTCTACAATACAAATGCTGTTTCAGGCACCCCATCTTTGCTCCAGCAATTTCCTGGGCTTACAACATCTTCTTTCTCCAGCTTTAAGATTAGTGTTTGTTTGTTTGTTTTCCCTTTCTTCTAATTCAGCTTAGACATCACCTCCTCCAGGAAAATTACTAACTAGTGGCTTCCTTTCCTACCTGAGTCACAATCAGCTGCCCTATATTCTCTTCTCTAAGCTCAAAGGAGGAGGAATTGTGTCTTATTCGTCTCTGTGTCCCTAGAGTCTACCACTGCACCTGGGATATAGTTGGTGCTTCTGAGAAAA